GGTTGTGTTTATTAAGTAGAAGTTGTTAAAGAGAGATCATTTTTCCGAGTTGCTCAGAAAGGACTCTGATCTGCCTTTTTTTTTTTTTTTCTCTTTTCTTTTTTCAGTTTTAGTTTTGTTTTTTGAAGGCCAGAGTGACAGGGAAAGATGATCCATCTGGTGGTTCATAAACCAAATGCCCGCAACAGCCTGGGTTGGGCCAGGCCAAAGCCAGGAGCTGGGGTCCCCATTCAGGTCTCCCGCAGGGGTAGCAGGAGTCCAGGTACTTAGGCACATTAGCAGGAAGTTCCTAGACGCAGAGATGGCATTCTGTCCCAGGCACGGCAATACTGGATGCTAAGGTTCCAGAGGGTGACTTGACCCACTGTGCCACAACACCTTTGTGATGCCCTTTGTTGTTTTTTTCTCTTTTTACTTTTTTCCCCCTCTTCTTTCCTCTTGCTTCTTTTTTTCTTCATTTATATTTATTTACAAATCCTGTGTTGAGGGCTGACTTTCAGTAGATCGCAGCGAGGGAGCTGCTCTGCTACATAGGAAACCCCGACCAAGAGGCAGATGGTCTAGGAATGGTTTGGCGCCAGGTTCCCCAGGAACGTGCATTGCTGACGGACGAGAGGCTGTCTCCCTTTCCAGCCACTGCCCGTTTCCCAGGACCAAGGGCTCTCCGCACCAGACCCTGGTCCCGTTGCACGGGGAGGTGCGTTGCAGGCACGCTGCTGAGCCGGACACGTGGCTTGGCTGTGAGCTGGGGCAGCAGAGGACCGGCTATCCAAGGCCAACCGAGGCTCCTTTGACACTGCCGTTTGTTTTTTTGTTTAAAATCAGTTGCCTATCATCTGGCTCTTCTCTGCTTTGAACACTTCTTAATTGACTATTTCTTATGATGTAGAAGACAAACCAGATGATTTAACTTATTACCAGTTTTTTTAATTTTTTTTTTCTGAAAAGGCAGATTTGAGAGAGAAGGAAATACGGAAAGATCTTCTAGTCTGCTGGATCACTACCCAGATGGCCACAATGGCCAGAGCTAAGCTGATCTGAAACCAGGAGCTTCCTCTGAGCCTCCCACTTGGGTAGAGAATCCCAAGGCTTAGGGCCGTCCTTGACTGCTTTCCCAGATCACAAGCAGGGAGCTGGATGGGAAGTGGGGTAGCCAGTTCACACTCTGGCACCCATGTAGGATCCTAGTCTTCATACAAGGTGAGGGTTTAGCCACTGAGCTGTCACGCCAGACCCACTGGTTACCAGTTCTGAGGAACAGGACTTCTGATTGCTCCTAAGAGCCTGCTCACCTGATCTCCCGGGCCCAGTGACTGCAGTTCATTCTGCATTTGGAGCCAGGGGCCCACATGCTGTGGGTGAATAGAGTTCTGGTAGTCCGTCTGTCAACATTTTCAAATCAGCAGTTTGGTTCCCCGCCCCGCCCCCCCTTTTTTATTCCCTGAAGTTATTTTCTGGATAAATATATCTGCGAGAATTTTGAATCATTGCTGTTCAATTCTAGAGATTTTTTTTTTAAGTATCAAAAGTGGCATTCATCACTGAGAACACTACTTGGGAAATTAGTTGGCATTTGTAGAAATGGTCTTTGCTTTTTCTTGGGATCGCTGTTGCAGTGCTGAGGAATAAGGTTCCCCTTGCGATGCCAGCATGCCACATTTGAGTGCTGGTGTGAGTCCTGGCTGCTCCACTTGCAGTCCTGCTTGCTGCTGGTGTACCTGGAAAGGCAGAAGGCGATGGCCTCCACCAGCCACATGAGTGACCGGGATGCAGTGCTGGCCTTAACCTGGCTCAAGTCCTGGTGGTTCTGGCCACTGGGTAGTGAGCCAGCAGATGGATCTGTTTTCCTCCCTCACCCTTTCAGATGTAGAAGTCTAGAACAAAGAAATGATTTGGTGTCTTAGCATTTAAAGAATCCCTAACATGACTTCATTTTCCTTCTTTGTTCTGCAGTGACCTAAGGAAATGGAAGAGGGTTCTCATCCCTCCTAGTTTCTACTGTGGCCAGTAAGAGGCATTTACAGAAAAGAAGGAAAGGTGATCCACATTATCTTTGAAAGATCAAGAGGCACTTAGAAGCTTTCTTAGTCCTCCCCCTTTTCCCACCCCATTTTATTTGAAAGGGAGGGAGAGATCTTCCACCCGACTGCTGAGTGTTCCCCAGGTGCCCACAACCGCAAGGGGTGAGTTAGGCTAAAGTCGGGAACCTAGAACTCAGTCAAGGTTTTCAATAAGGGCAGCAGGGACTCAAGTGCTTGAATCATCACCTGCCTCTAGAGTGTGTATTAGCAGGAAGCTAGATCGAAAGCAAAGCAGCCAGGGCTTGAACCATTCATTTCAAGACCAAATATGTGCCTCCCAAGTAGTCCTTAAAACTGCCACATTATCTGACCCTGCAGCTGTCCTTCTGAGGTCTGAAAAAAGTGTGTGTGTGTGTGTGTGTGTGTGTGTGTGTGTGTGTGTGTGTGTGTATTTTGGATTTTCATATTGGGGCTCTGCTGCCATTAACTCTAGGTCTGTCCTTGCTGTTAAGCAGTTACAGCAGTGGATGATTCAAGTTTGTTTTACACTGAAAAAGTTCAGCTTTATTACGAAAAAAAGTTTCTACAGTACCTCTGGGCAGCATTTGTTCCATAGTGCCTGCATCGTTACATCTGGGTTTGAGTCCTTGCTCTGCTTCTCATTCCAGCTGGCTGCTTGTGTGCGTTCTGGGAAGCAGCAGGTGATGGCTCAAGTGCCTGGATGCCTGCGGCCCACGTGAGAGACCCAGAATGAATTCCTAACTTCAGCCTGGCACAGCCCCAGGTGTGGCGAGCTTCTGGAGAGTGAACCACCTCTCTTGCTGTTGGCCTTTCAAATAGATTTACAAAACAAAACAAAACAAAACAAAACAAACCATGTCCAGTTTTGTCACATAAGCCACATTCTTGCTATCTCCAAATGCTTTTGGATACATAAACTTAACTGAATTAGTTCATCAACACTAAGTTCATTTGTATATATATTCTGGGACAGAGCCTCTCCAAGCTCCTGTTTCTGGGTCCCTGAAAGGGAGTGCTCTTCATCTTCTGAAAAGATGAGTTTGTGAGATATTTGTTATGAGTGCAGACCACCGCTGCTTTCAAAGAATGTTTGTGGGACTGGGGTGACATACCACTGGAAGCGATAGAGATGGACACTGCTATAAGTGAGAAGACCTCAGTGTGACCCAGGCACCCTCACTCTGGCTGTGCAATCCTGGCAGGTGTTCAGCTATCGGTTCTATTTCTGGGATTCAGATGCACAGTGCAGGATAGGAAGTAAGATGAAAGGAAGGAAGTTTTTAGAAGGCCTGTATCTAGCGGCATCCTCAATGAAGGATGGGAGTTGAGTGCCGAGGCTATTTAAAGGAGCGTGGGGCTGGGGGCCGTGTTGTGATACTACATGTTAAGCTTCTAACTGCAGTGCCAAAGGAACACAGGTTCAAGTTTCAGCTGTTGCATCTCCAGCCCAGCCTGCTAATGTGACTGGGAAAGCATTGGACTTACTTAGGCTTCTGCCACCCATGTGGGAGACCCAGAGTTCCTGACTCATCTTTAGCTATTGTGTCCATTTGAGGAGTAAACCGACAGATGGAAGACCTTTCTGTCTTTCCCTTATCTGTACATAGCTCTGCCTTTGAAATAAATCTTGAAAAAAAGAAGCACAAGGAAGGTACAGAAATACTTCATACAATGCAACAAAAGGAAAAGCATTGAGCCCAGGAAGAGGAGGAAGGCAAGAGTACCACCACCGGCTATGCCGTTGGTGTGTGAAGGGTGGTTCCTTTTGGCCAGGTCCCCTTTGATTCATCAGGTGAGGAGCAGCGTGGAGCTAGAGGCTATGCGTAGAATGAGAGTACTGTGAGAGGCTGAGCTTCTGCTCAGTAGCTGCATGGAAGTTCAGTCTAAATGCAGTCACAGGGTAGGGCTGAGGGTGCATGTATAGTTAAGAAAGCCTAAGTTTAACTTGGCAGGACTTTGAGTGACACAGGTGAGGCAGTTGGCCTGAGTGGAGTAGTCCCGGAGGAGACACAAGTGAAGTTTCCGAATAATATTGTCACTGGAACGGAGGTAATCAATGAATCGGTGGCAATAAAATTATGCCAGCTTCATAAATTGCAATTTTACAGTTTCAGGTTTTAGTCCCTCCCTGCCTCCTCCTTTTTTTCCTAGTACCCATGGGTAGACAAATGGTTTACAACCAGCATAATTTAAAACTTTAAATATATATATATATATATATTTTTTTTTTAAAAAGTTACTAAATGGAAAATGAAATTGAAGTGTTTTTCGTTGTTCGAAATGTGTTTGCAGACTGGGAGCATGGGGAGCATTGGGCCTCTGTGCTCTGGTGACTTTCTGTGGGCGTTCTGAGCGTGGCCACACTCACTCTCGGTTGTCGTCCCCTACCCACACTAGTCGGGTCACTGAGTGTTGGGACAGCGACTGTACCTCCTGTGATAGAAAAGTGTGCCGCTGTGGGTTCTGTTCTCTCTCTGCTTATCTTGTTTTTCCCCCTGCTTTCTACTTCAGCAAAAACACCTCCTAATCCCCCTACATAGCTTTATTGGAGTTTTGGCTTCAGCTTGCACCTGTAAGATGTTTAAAAAATATATATATTTATTTATTTATATAAATTTATATTTATATAAATTTATACTTATATGAAATTTATATATATCTTTATATATATATATGAGCTTTTTGAAAAAAAATGTAAACAAGTAATACCATGTGGCTAATGCCCTCTACCACAATAGGCAATTAAATCACCTAAACAGTGTGAGAAAAATCATGATACAGTTCTGTCTCCTGCAGTGGAGCCCATCGTGGATTTGCAGAACAGCAGACTGTAGCTCAGTGGCAGGCTGTACTAAAGCTGGAGCCTGACAGGGAAAGCTCTGACTGCTCTCTGTGTCCCTTCGACCTTTCTATGTTGAAACTTTGCTTTAAGGTAAAATGTCACATATTTTCTTACAGCCATGGTTTGAAAAAGTTTTTTTCTTGTCGTGGGATTGCAATTGCGGTTGAGTATTTTTGGAAGCTTGGCAACAGAAACATCACTGTGTTTGTCCCTCAGTGGAGAACAAGACGTGATCCCAATGTCACAGGTGAGGTACACTGATTTTTCCACCTTTTGGATGGTTTTTCAATGAATTGGCTACAGTCGTAACATACTGACCGGAGCAGAGCCACATACCAAAGGCAGCAACTTGAAAACCAAAGTATAAATCTGCTGAACTTGGTAAAACATCAAATGAAGAATGTTAAGGTAGAGGAAATACTTGTGTGAAGGGTGGAAAATTAGCCTAGTTGATTATAGAGAAAGTTATGTTAGAGTTTATTATGCATCACAAAAATTTTCCCCTGACTTTCTAAGAAGTAAAATGTATCTTCTGTTAGGCTGGGTTTGTTTCTGGCCTGTTGAGATAGTGGCTTGAAAATGGCCACTTGATAAATTTGGTGTTTTCAGATATGTCTTTTTAACGGTGTTGTGAGCAGCTTCTTACGAATCATTTCTGTTCACCGTGTGATACTGCGTGGCCAATCTGCCGGCCGCAGCAGGAGGCTCAGGCTCACTGAGAGTCCAGAGTGCTCCACAGACGCTGAGGCAGTTTCCATCCCAGGTCAGGAAAGGACATGGGGTCAAGTGGCCCCATCCCTAGAAGTAAAAAGTAGACTGGGAGGAAGGGGGGCGTGTGCAGAAGAGCTTGCCCAACATGTGAAAGAGGAAGTAACGTTCGGGCACTAGTAAAGTGGAAATGGTAAAACCACATATTTCCCAAGCATTCCCAACTTCCCTTACTTTGAAGAGCCTGTTTGAGCGAACAGAAGGTACATTAAAGTAAGGTAGATCCACTCATTTTGTAGCAAGTTTTACCATTGGATTCCCTATGAGAATCTTAGAGTGGCTTAATGCTGTGCCCTTCTAGGACAATAAAACATGTTGGGATGGTGGGCATTTCTGCCTAAGTCAGCAGGGAGTGCCGCTGTAAGGAATGTAAATTAGGAAATCTCAGGCTTAGAGCTTTCAGCCTCTTGCTCATTACCGAATGTGGTTTGGAGAACCCCTTTGCTTTCTACTGCCACCTTACTGCCATGAAGACCCATGAATATTTGCCCTGGCAACTAGGAAACTGGTTAGGAGGCCGCTAGAGGGAGGGTTTGACAGTTTCTGACCCAGGCTGAAGCAGGCCTTAGGATGGGGCAGCACTGTTTTCACCCGGCTTCTGTGCTCACTCTTGTCCTCTGTAAAAGTTCTTACAGAACTCACTAAATGGGGGTTTATGGTTTACTCTGTGCAATTTAAAAAGCAAATGAGTTGAGCCCTCTTTTATAGTCAAAGAGTAGCTGAAGTCAGTTCCTACCTTGTATTGCCTTACAAGGGTGTTTTTCTTCTTAATGAGTTAGCAAAATTGAGTTAATAGAAAATAAAGATTTTCAACAAGTTTTCACGAGTGCTTTTGATTTGTTTTTATACCTCTTGGAAGACAGTCCTTTTCTGAATATATATTCAACTTATTCCATGAACAGAACAGCACTTCTTAACCCAGCTCCAGGAGCTTGGAATATTATCTTTAACTCCTGCTCGGATGGTCTTTGGAGAGAGAATTGCTTCTCATGATGACAGGTATGAAAGACCACTTTTCCTTCTAAGGTGGGATGGGGTGGTGCACAGCCAGCCACCTGCTCCCCTGGACAGGTCCACACTATTAAAGGTCTTACTGACTCAGTGGTCTGAGGGCTGTTATGTTTATGATCATTAGTTTAAATACTCAAGTCTATGCTGTGTGGGCTTAGGACCTTGACCAAAAAAAAACAAAAACAGCTGTTGGAGTTTCTGTTTTGTTTTTTAATAAAACATGACTGAGAATCTAAGTAAAAGCAGGCACTCAGCAGTGGTCTGCCACTACTACCTGCCTGCTCCTGGTCTGTATTGACCAACAACTGGACCTGCAGTTTCTTCCCCATGGGTGAATGCAATGTGATGGGAGTAAGCGCCTCCTTAGGTTAGGAGTCATTCAGAAAGCAGGTGCAGTGCATCTGAGACACCTTTTGAGTTTTTTCTAGAAACTTAACTGAGCACCCACCAAGTCCTCTGCAGAGGTTGGTTCCCAGGATATATGAATCGGGCACACATCCTGCCCTCAAGGGCCTGTAATCTGGAGGAAAAGATTCACAAATAAGTAATAAAGGGGAGTTTGCTGTGGGAGACAGAAGATTCCAAACTTACCCAGTGATGACGGCACCAGTTCTCACAGTCTCTCTCCTGGGTAGTACTAGCAGGAGCCAGTCTTTCCATGTGTAAAACCCAAGTGATAGCTGCTCGTTGCTGCCCTGCACTTAGCCTGTTCATCTCTGGCTTGCAGGAGCCAACAGCTCCACCCCTGGGAGTTTTCCCTGTTGTTCTCCCGTTGAAGATAGTGTGCAACTTGTGGGCAGATGAATCAGTGGGTTCCATGAGTGAGAGCTAAAAAGAGAACCCTGGCAGTGGACATTCATTTACCAGGTGCCTTCCTGATAGCCCTCGACCTGCACCTAGCTGAAATCGGATACCTGATTGGGTGGAGAGAAGAATCACAGGTGAGGTGATGTGAAGAGCTGAGGAACACAGTAGCTAGGGCGGGGACTCAGTGAGAAGTCCTGGGAGGCATGTGACCTGGCACCTGGGACGCTAGAGTGTTCAGGTCAAAAGTCGAACGAACTGCTGGATCTGGGGAAGACCTTGGGACCTGACACTGCCTGTAGTTCTCCCCCCTGTTGAACTGGGCTGCAAGTCCAGGCGTGCGGACCAAGTGTTCCCGTGGCTTACGGGGCTCTTAGAGGACAAGAATGTGTGCCCTAATTCCTAGTGCTTTAACGAAAAGCCTCTTTAGGAATACTCCAAGCAGATGTTACCACTTAAAACTTGTACCAATTAGAAGTGGTTTGTAAAATGCTCCTTTTTAACCCAAAAGAACCAAGTGTGTTTTCCTTCCCAATCCTAACATCCCTGAAATTAATGAGGTTTGATCTTTCTAATCCCCTGTCTCAGAATGGGTTGTCTCATCATCCTTGTCCACATTATCCAAGACAAATAGGGTTAGCTTCAGGTCCTGGGGAATGGAATTCACGTGATCCTCTGAGTTACTCAAAGGATTTGAACAGGAAGAACAAGTTGCAACAGTAAAATACAGTCCTTAACAGTCTCATTCTTACCGTTTTTCTTCAACGTGTATTCTTTCATAACTTTCATTTGAGTGGATCTGTTACCTCAGCAAAACAGAACAGCAGTTCTAGACATCTCTTAGAGACGGAAATGTGAACCTGTGAATTTAAAAAATAGACTTACAAGACTGACTACACCGAGTAACTGATGTTAGAACCAAAATACTGTTGCTTAGCAACAACAAACTGAATTGTGATTTCACAGCTTTGTTAGCTCTGATTGAATCTCTGTTCTTCCCCTTATGAACTATTACTACCACTATGTATTGTGACTATAGATTTTCTAGAAAAATGTATAAACTCTAGTTATACGTTTTTATAATTGGATGAAAAAAAGTTTTTATGGTGATCAGTAACTTCAGAAGTGCTCACCATTTTACATTGTTCTTCAGCCTAGAAGATGAAATCCTCTTGTTTAGAATGTGGTTTCTCTAATCCAGGGTTGCCTGTTTGCTCATTTAAAATTCTCTTATATTCCCATAGGTTTCTACTACACTTAGCAGATAAAACTGGTGGCATAATTGTAACAAATGATAACTTTAGAGAATTTGTGACTGAGTCAGTCTCTTGGCGAGAGATTATTACAAAAAGGTAATATTTGCTCTTTTTGTCTTGGGATGGAAATTTTGTTACTGTTTAATTTTGTTTGCGGTGGGCCTTAAATGCAGAAGCAACATAAAGCACCAGAGTGTGGTCAGACTAAGCTGAATTCCTGTCCTGGTGCACAGGATAGCTGGTCCCACAAGGTGACAAGGAGGACCCAGCCCAGACAGCAAAAACCTGGACGTGAGGTGGCTGAGCCTGCTGTGTGTGAGGTCACTGCACAGCTCACTGTGAGAGAGCATAAGCGGCCTCCTAGCCTGGCTCTGCACTCAAGCCCTTGGCCCTCTAGCCTGCCTGTCAAGTGGGAAGGTTGGACTGAGAGAGAACTGACAATTCCAGCGCTGAACTGCATCAGCTTCAGCAAGGAAACGGGACGAGCAGCAGTGTGCTCAGAGCTGTGATGACTCAGAGCTTGCGGGGCATGCTTCTGCATCTGATGTTTTTCTTGAGCTTTTTCCTCATCCATATTGAATAGGTGTTTACATGTCATCTAGAGTTAGAGTGAAGAATAAAACGTTCACTGCTATTAATTGCTCGTGTGTGACAACACTGTGACTATGTCCAACTGCTAAAAACCACCTTGAGTTGAGCAAACCCAGGCTCCAGGACCTGTGTTGGGATGCTTCCCCTGACCGCTTGCTTACAAGAGAAGCAAGATCTGAAGTAGCGCCAGGGATAAATCATACATGCTACAGGTCCTAGCACATGAGATGACTGTTTCTCAAGCCAGGTCTAACTAGAGTGGTGTATGACTAGCAGAGCTGTCTGTTTCCTCTCTGGGTTGTCATGGTTACCCCTTGTCTGAAATGTTTACTGGATTGTTAGAGGACTTTAGTAACAGGTTCTTGGTTGTAAATGCCCAGGTGAGAGTCAATTGCTCTGTGCATTTTGACCCAGCACTGTTGAATAGCTGAACTGAGAGCTGGTCTTTGAACTTCAGAGCACACGGGATGAGGCATTAATTCATCTTCTGTTCCTGTTGGGTCTCTCCCTGGCTCATCATCGCTAACTTATTAGACATTCGTCTCTGAGTTTGGAGGCTCTGAATGTGCTTCAGACCATTCCCTCCTGAGAGCTGCAGAGCCAGCACGGACACTTGAACTGTTTCGTTTCCCCATTTCCTGCAGCCGGATAATAATTTTTTATTGACATTGGATTTTCTTTCTTCAACATAATACTGTTTTCCTTTCTTTAAAAACGTTTTCACTAAGTTTGCCATGGACGCATTGATTACAAAGTCTTCTCATCTCACTTCTTCAGGTTGCATTCAAAGTTCTGTTTGGAGAATAAGCTGTCTGTCAAGCCCAGAGAAAAATGTGAAAGTGTTGAGAGGAATGTGAGGGCCAGCTCCTAGTGTGTGTGTGTGTGTGAGAGAGAGAGAGAGAGAGAGAGAGAGAGAAATTACATGGTTTAAGCTGGGTGTGGTTTTTTTCCCCCCTCTTAGCCAGTGAAGCAGCCTGAATCTGTGAGCTGTCTGTGGCCTGTGAGGTTCTTCTCACTTCCTGCATGCTGTAATCCTTCTGTGTGTTGCAGGCTGCTGCAGTATACTTTCGTGGGGGACATATTTATGGTTCCTGATGATCCTCTGGGAAGAAGTGGACCTCGCTTAGAAGAATTTCTTCAGAAGGAAGTCTTTCCTAGGTATTTCCTCTTTCAGATAGTCTTATGTTTCAGTTATTTGTGCCTCAATATAAGTGCGCTGACATCTTAGGTATTTATTTTTAAAGTTTTAGATGTAGTGTTGGTACTGTGTATGTAGCAGCAAATCAAGAAACTACCCCCCCAAAGATCAGAATGTCAGTTGTGATTCTTTCATTTTTTGGGTTTTGTTTTTATGTTTCTTTTCATCTGCTTGGAAGACAGAGTGACAAAGAACAATGGAGATAGAGATGTAGCTTCCATCCCCTGGTTCATTCTCTCAAATGACTGCAAGAAACATCAGGACTGGACCTTGCCGAAGCCAGAACCTGAGAAGGGTTCCCATATGGGCAGCAAGGCCCCAAAGCATCTAAAGCAGGTTTACCAAGCTGGTGATCACTGGCAAATGTCACTTAGTATATAATGTATGTTGTCATCCCCTTTTTAAAGCTATTTGCTTTGAATATGTTAGACTTGTATTCAGGATTCACTGAGTTGGAGAAACTGACAGCCAGTATTCCATGTTACCTGATTATCAACTGAATAGGGGTAAATATTTTCGTTGTCCTTTGGCTTTGTTGGTTTTGAGAGCGCAGCGCAGTTAGTTGCCTACATGCTTGCTGGTGACAGTCCTTTGTTTTTCACGACTGAGTCACCTGCACTCCTGTGTGCTTCCCAGCAGACCCTTGTATACAGGGTGCTGGAGTCTCTGGAGAGAAAGGCCCAGCTCCTCAGGGACGTGGAGCGTCACAGCTGACACTTTGATTGTCCCAGGAGCCTGCTGAGGCCCTGGGTTTGGTTTGTTATCCTTTCCCACACCCAACCCCCGCCCTGTGTGCGTGTGTGCGCACACACACACACCACCTTGCACAGAGATCAGCATGATTCAGCCTGTTGCTCATTATTTTCTTCCGGTCCCCACTGGGCATTAGCACCTGAGGCCTGTGGTCAAGCTGAGGAGAAGAGTGTTGTCTGTCTCCTCCCACCCCTCAAGCAGACTAGCAGCCAGCGCTAGGCTGCCTGTCTTTTCTCTTCCCCCCCGACTGCTGCTTGACACAGGTGTGAATTAATCGGTTAAGACATTAGTAACCACTTCCCTCACAGAGGGCCCAGCAATGAGATTGGGAAGCTGTTTAGCCAGCGTCAGTGGGAGAGAGGCTGTGGAATGGTTCCCATAACCTCTCTGTGCACATGCTCGAGAATGTACGGCCTGAGGGCTCAACTTCTCACTGAGGCTTAGGCAGGGAGTAGGCCTGGTTGGTGGAGACTGGCTCAGGGCCCAGGCGGGTCATAGTTAATGCCCGTCAATAAGAACCAGTGCGGCATCTCTGTGGGAGCTCCCCTGTTGCCCTGGGGTCAGTGACTGAGCTCTTGGCCCGTTCTGGGCCTCTAGAGGAGGTGTCCCTGGAGGTCCCGCAGGCGCCTGCGTCACCGCCTGCAGCAGTCAGCACACTGGGTGCCCCGGTCAGCAGCAAACATTGGAGAAGAGCTTGCTGATGTCTCTCACCCAGCTCACCAGGCTCTCTTGCACCCCCAGAGATGTGCAGCCCCTCAATGCCCTGCCACCAGTGGGCATGTTCGACCCCAGCTTCAGAGGCCCTGGCACACAGGCCACCAGCTCCAGCCACCAGCCTCCAGCCCGGAGTCAGGGCACCCCTCCCAGCCACTGGCTTCCGCAGCAGTCCAGCTTCCCGCTCATGCCGAACCTTCCCAGCATCGCACAGAGCCTGCCCTTGCCAGCACAGAGGTCTTCTGCAGAAACCAACGAGCTGAGGGAAGCCCTTCTTAAGATCTTCCCTGACTCTGAGCAAAGACTGAAAATTGACCAGATCTTGGTGGCCCATCCGTATATGAAAGATCTCAATGCCCTGTCTGCCATGGTGTTGGACTGAGGACGGCGCAGAGAGCAGAACCCAGGGCCCATGTCTGACTTGGCCAGAAGTACTGTAATGTGAAGAACCCAGTTTCCCAGTGCAAGCATTTTTGTATTGCACAAGGGATAAATGACTTTTTGTCCATTAAAAAAATGGATTTTCAAAACCAGCTTTTTTCTATATATAAATTATGCTGCTATTATTACAGAGTTAACATTTTCTGTGAAAGGAAAGTCTACATTTTCTGCCTGTTCATAACTGTTTGATAGTGGTTATTCCTGAGTGTATTTACATTTTTATGTTTTTTAAACTATTTTCCTTAAAGCAGAAAATATTGACAAATGGACATGGTTAGTCTTTCTAATAAAAAAAGAGCTGCTTTCCCCAAGGAAAGCAAGACTCTTAAAGTTTATTTTCTTGAGATGAATATGTCACGTCCACTAACAAAATGTGCTTGTCCTCTGCCCTGCCCCCCACTGGAGTTGGACTTGATTTGCTCCTGTGGGGGCTTTGGTTGGAGCCAACTGTGAGAGTGGACAGGTGGTGCCACTAGATGGCACTTTGTGCCTAGCCTAGTTCCTGACCAGGCCAAAGTGAGTCACAGACTGTCAGGGCTGGGAGAAGTCTTCAAGCTCTTTTCGCCCCATCCCTCCTTTCCTTCCTCCCTATGGAAGCGGGAAGCGTGGCACAGAGGGCCCGCATCCCCAGCCGTAGAGAGGCCAGGTGGGCACTTCGTGCACCTGATGGGAATTCAGACGCCCCATCCCAGCCTATGGTGACCATGGCAGGGCGTGACGATGCTTAGGAAGAGCTCCACACTCAATGGACGTCTCATGCCCACAGCCACGGGCAGCACCTCAACATGGAGTTTGTACAGCTTTGCCAAAAACCAATTTCCTACTCTTGAGAGTGACCCAAGCCAGTAAATAGCATTAGTAGCTTCTAGGGGTCCTGGGCCCCTCTATTTATTTTTGCTGTGTTTTGTCTCTTCGGTGTTTCCTAAACAGCTGTTCCTGTGAGGCTCAGAATTGGTATGTTAGTATTACCTTTTTTTTCAGTGTTTCTAAACTCTGTGTCAGTGAAGTTCTTTTCCTGGGTGACTCTTTAACACCTTACTCTTCTCTGGACTTTGAAAGGGCTTAGTGTTTTATACCCGTGCTGCCTGGGCTGCTCACAGTCGTTTTCATGTCTGTGCTGTGGCTCCTGTCTTTCTTCTGACCCTGTCAGGAGTGGGTGAGGACTCTCTGCTGCTTTGTTCTTGGCAGTCAGGACTCCCATCAGTGTGTTGCCCCCTGGCTTTCATCTGGTCTCTGCATCTTTTGAGGTCATTCCAGAGCTGTCCAGGGGCCGGACTTGGATGCCCTGAATGGTTGTCAGCGGCTGTGGAAGCAGAGGCAGAAGACTTGAGGTAGACCAAGAAAGGGGCTTCAGCTCCGGACCCTGGGTCTCAACTTTGACATCACAGCAGAGGTGATGGGGAGGGCTCGCAGATGACCCTTTGTGGCTCAGGGTTTGGTCCTGCAGCCTCTGCCAGTCCGCTGTTCCCCTCCTTCTGAGAAAAGAAGAGCCAGGAGTCTCTGATAGCTATGACTGAGCTGCTCGAATGCTGGATGGAGGCTGTGGGGCATAACATTTCTAGGCTTTAGAAGCAACTTGACCTTCAACACTGAGTATTTTTTAAGATTGCTTCTGAGAAATCTAGTTGCCAGTAACCTTTCTGAGTTATGGAAAAGAAGAAAGTAGACAATCCCTTACACTTATAATTTGTGACATGAAAGATAATTGATAATTCTGAAATCTGGCATTTTAGATTTTGTATTTAAAAACCCAATTCTGAAGCCATTACAGAAATTTAAATCTTTCTTTGCCTCCTAGTAATACTTGGCTCTGTGCCGCTCGGGAGGTGTTTGTAGGTGATCTGCCTCTCGCTGAGACATCTTAGCTGCCACCCCAGTCATGTTGGCCACAACCTCCACGTCTGGAAGCATTATAGCAGGCAGAGGCAGCGGTTGCTGCACCTGGAGGTACTGGTGGCACTGAAAAATCCCCGGGCCACATTCTGCCCAGGCCCCGAGCTACCTCTTCTGGGAGCAAAAAGATGAGCCTGCCCTCCTGCACGTGCCCACCTGGAGGACCACATTATAGTAGTCATGTCAGCTGTCCTGCAGGACAGCCATGTCACCAGGACACAGGCCCAGGAAGAGAAGGCTCCCATGGGCTGCAGGTGTGGAGTGCAAAAGAGGCCCCATTGCCTCACTCAGAATCCCCCACTCACCACCTCTGCTCCCCACCCTGGGCCTGGGGCCACCAGGAACAGACCTTGAAGCATCCTCGCCTCCCGTCCCCAGGTGCCACCAGCCTTTGGGAGTCTTCCCATTTGTGCTCCACCAGCATTTCCTTGTCGCCACGTGTCCTTCCCACCAGCAACCCTGAGCTTCACCTCTCATCTCCTATCTCTAGCTCACTTCCCCGTTCGACCACATGGCGCTCCAATTGTAGTTAAGTCGCCTGATGTCCTCTGACATCATTCATTCACCAGTTTTCGATCATTGCTCATGCTTTCCCCCAGCTCCTCCCCATTCCCTTCCCATGGGGATCCCTCCACCACTTGGGAGTGGTCTAGGGAACATCAGTCAGGATTCCAGAGTCCTTTTCTGTGCGCACTCAGCAAGCTGGGTGTGTGGTGCCACAGCCTTCCTGTTCCCATTTCCAGAAGGACACACACTTCATTCTTTCTCTTCTCTTACCTGAAAACAAGTCCTTAATAACCATCTCCTCTCAACCAGGTTGTTTTCAGACACCAGGCCACCTATGAGTCTGCAGGTAGACAAGGCAGCGTTCACAGAAAATGCAGGTTCCTGGGCTCTGCCCCCAGGGACATGGGCTGAGTAGGTCTGGAGTGAGGCCTGGGGATCTGTAACCAGCTGCTGCTTGCCAGGCTTCAGCGACTGGTGGAGGGGACAGGGCGGGGAGGGTTGTGTATCACTTGAGGGCTCCTACACTTACCCTTAGAGGTCACCACATTCCCATCAGCCTCACCGCTCCCCTAGCCCCACTCTCCCCCCAAAGCATGGTGGTCTCTGTTGCCCCCTCCTCCCTGTGACCCCTGCATCTGCTGTCTTCTCTTGCCCACCAGTCTTCATCTGGCATCCTGACCAACCCAGCCCCCTCTCCCGTCACCCTTCTCCATTCCAGGTTTATCTCCCAGTAAAGCACATGTGTGATGACCTTCAGTGGCATCAAGCCCAAGGGGCCCAGTGTGCAGAGCAGCCCACCTCCCAGCCACACCTGACTGCCCACTTGAACAGCCCTTGCCGCAGCCGCGCCTTGTTCCCACTCCCTGCCTCCGTGTGTGCCCCTTCTCTCAGATGGTTCTCCCCTTTCAGAGGCCCAACACCCAGCCTGCTCTGCACCCTTGCCCAGCTCAGACCAGAAGCAGCCCCATCCTGTTCTGTTTCCCTACAGCACTTTGTGTCTTGCTTGTGGCCCTTGCCACTCAGGCTGCTGTTGCTGCAGCCGATTGTGTACTGTGTCTTACTTCAGACTGTGAGCTCCTCGCGGGCAGGGACCTCTATGCTCACTCTGTGTTTGCCACGGCGCCTAGCACAGTGCCTTGCACTTGATAGGTGCTCAATAAATGTCTGCTCAAGTGACCTGGAGATGCTGCCTTCTTGACTGTGGCACATGGCAGCCCGACCTGCCGAGGCCTTTAGAATCGTGTCTGCAGGGGTTGGCATCGTGGGTCTGCCTGGGTTACCCCAACCTCTGCGAGAGCCAGTGTATATTACCCTGGTGCTGGCCACCTGGCACAGGCTGTCAGTTTCTCTGCCTTCACAGTACACCATGAGAGTCATATGTAAAGACCCTTACCTCTGGTGAGGGAACCTGGGGTGACACTACCAGGTGCGCGCCAGGCCATTTTCTGCAGCCAGTCTGCAGGAGCAGGAAGCAGAACTACAGTTCCCTGAGAGGTTGTGATCCTGGTTTCAGGTGTGAGGAAAACCTTTCCTTCCTCTGATGGCACACACTGTGGTCCAGCCTTCCCATTTTTCTTAAGCTAGTTTGAGTTGGATTTTCAATCTCTTGAAATCTAGTCTTCTTAAACACAGTGATAGATCCACAATGGCTGCTGTGCTGGGGCTGCGCCAGACAAACCAAAAGGCTCAAACTGCATCCAGGTCTCCCATGTGGATGGCAGGACCCCAAGCACATGGACCATCCCCTCCTGCTTTCCCTGGTGCGTTACCAAAAGACCAGAAGTGGTGCAACCAGGACTTGACCCAGTGCACTGATATGCTGGAGGCCTGAGTATAACCCTCTGTGCCATAGTGTGGTCCCCTAGAATCCAGTCTTAGGTAGAACTTGTGTTTGTAGTCTTTGCTAAGGACTTTGTAGGACTTGCAGATTGGATGGGGGAAGGTTCCTCCTACATGTACAAATTTCTGTGCAGCCAGAACTCCGGGAGTCAGGAAAGGTGACAGTATTCCAGACTTAAGAATCCCGCCAGCAACAGGCTGTCCCCCGCTCTTTCTCCCCCCTGCCCCCAGCATCCACTTCCTCTCCAGGTAAGTTCTAACTCTGGTTGGACAGAGAACAGCCCTCCAGCCTTGGGCACTTGCATTTGGACCTGTCCTCACATTCTGGTTTTTCCTTCTGCAGAACAGACATGATAGAATAGTACTTTCTGCTTTATGAATGACACAAGAAGTAAACGTATCCGTAACTGTGACACGCCGCCCACAGTGCCCCACACCGACCCTGCTGGGTGAGTGCTAATGTGGCGCTGCCCAGCAACCCCGTGGACATTTCTGAGCACCTGCCACAATCCTGATGGTTTGTACCACATGTCCACCAACCCAAACAGGGACATCCCATCCCCTACGGTTTGAGGGCATCGTCTGGTGCAGTCACCAGAGTAGGGACAAAGCCCTTAGGTGAGACCTAAGAGAAAGCAGGCAAGACAGCTGTGCAAAGGCCAGCTGTGACTAAGGCGTGTTTCATTTAACAAGCCTGCTGCCTCATAGTGCCCTCAGGTGGTGGTACCACAAAGGACCAGGGGGGCACTGGGCAGAGCCACTGCCTGCCCAGGGCTGTGTGGGAACCAATCCCCTGGCTGATGCTGAGCCCTTGGCACATTGTGCCAGGCATAGTTTTGTTCTCAGAGAAGTTGTGCGGGGGGGGGGGGGGAGGCTGATGCTTTCTCCCCTTGGCAGAGAAGCTGGGTGTGTGCAGTTCTCACGGCTGACACATCCAAGGTTCAGGATCTGGACTCCAGTGGGCCACCCCTTCCACTTCCCCACAGCAGCCAGAAAGGCGCCTCCAGGGGTGGGGAGGGAGCTAGGTCAAGGCTGGTAGCCTGCTGGGTGCACAGAGGAAACTACACCCACCTTCCTGCCCACAGCTGTGCCCAGCCCTCCTCCCCTGAGAAGATGCCAAGGGTGATTTCTACAGAGAAGCTGCAAGGCAAAAGCTCTGTGTGCCAGCCAGAAGCCATTGTATGGGTCTCACTTGGGTACAGGTCTATGGAGCGGCCCTTAGTGATTTGTGAAAGCTGAAAGCAACCTCTCCCCCAGCTCAGGTGCCAAGGTTGGGGGCATTCACTGGGGAAATGCGCCAAGGCAGGCAGGGGTTTGCCCGGGAGCAGGGCAGAAGTCCCCACAGCAAATGCTGCAGCTACCAGCCCAGGCGCCTGGGGCTTTCTGAACAAGGCTTCCGCCACCACCTCCCCCTTCCTGACTTTAGCTTCAAGGGTCACAGGACTCCAAACCACAGCCTTTAGTTTGGGGGCTTTCCTTACCTCCCCCAACCCCCACTCCGGGGAGCTCTGCCTAGTCCCACTGCCTGAAACCCAGTCGGGGTCAGGCCTGGGCTGCGGCAGGAGGAGGCAGCCTACCCTGAGAAGAATGTGCCTGTCTGCCCGCCTGTCTGGCTCCTGGATCAGTCTAAGATTTCAGCCTCCAAAAAAGGGAGCAGGAAGGAGCTGTGGGCAGACTCTGCTGCTTTGCCCTCCCCAGCCAGAGAGCATCCACCCTGCTGAGAAGCACTGGGCACCCACACTCAACTGCTCCTGCATGGCTGGCAGGCCGTGGGGGTGGGGTGGGACTGAGCCCTAAACAACCACATTCTCTGGATATGTTTGCATTCCGTGCCTTATCTTCAACAGTCATGCTTGAGTCACAGCCATATGCAGGGGACAGTGCCGGCCCCTGAGAGAGGAAGCCGCTCATCTTCTGAATGGACAGGGGCTGGGGGCTGGGAGGAGAGCCTGAGCCCTGCTCCACCGCCTGCAGCCAGGTGGCCTCAGTGTCCTCATCTGTCCATGGGAGTGGCCGTACTGCCTTTAGAACCGTGACTTCCAGTCCCAGCTGCACATCCAAATTGATCTGGCATTACAGCTGCTACTGAGCCCCGGGAAACAGCCTGTCCCCCGGAACATCCCTTGACTTGACATCCCGCTGTTAGGAGGCCCTGTGAGTGTGAAAGGCCCCACGATTCCCCTTAGAGCATCTGTGATCCTCAGCAAGGGTCCCACCAAGACCTATGTGTCCTTTTGTAGTTTTAAGAGCTAGTCCCTGCAGAAGCAAGTTCAGGGCAGGGAGCATTTGGTGCCAGCCTCAGCTGGACCTGGGCCAGCTGTGCACCCTCACTGCCTGGTAGACAAAAAGTAAGGCCCTTTTTTGTTTTGATTTTTTGTTAAAATTTGGTTTTTGAAAGGATTACAGAGAGAGCTGAATCTTATCTGCCCACATGAGTTCTTTCCCAGATGGCCACAGTGACCAGGGGTGGCCAGACTTCAGTTGGATCTCCCATTTGGTGGCAGAGGCCCATCTTGCCACTTTAGCCATCTGCTGCTGCTTTTCTCAGCTCATTAATAGGGCACTGGGTCAGAAGTGGAGCAGCCAGCACTCAAACCAGCCCCATCTGGAATGCTGGCCGCCACAGGTAGCAGCTTTACCCACCACTCCATAGCAACAGCCCAAGCTGGTGCTTTTTTAAGGGGCAAAGACTCACTCCTTTTTTTTTCTTTTAAATATTTTACTTACATAAGGTAAACTTATTTCACAGTACAGATTTGGAAACGTAGTGGTACTTTCCACCCTACCACCTTTCTTCCTTCCTTTTTTTTTTAATTTTTATAATGGCATAATTTCAGTTCACTTTATAACCACACAGCCTTAGCATTCCCTTAGATTAAAAAGAAAAATCACCAATTAGCAAACAGAAAAAAAATCACCATTCCTCAAGAGTATAGACAAAAGCTATTAACAATCAAATCTCAAAATATCAATTTCACTCACGTAGTGAGTGATACATTTTTTGTATCCTGTGCATTAGTTACCACAGATCAGAGAAAACATTTATCTCCTTGGGACAGGCTTGTTTTCCTAAGCATAATTGTTTTTCTAAAGCATGATTTTCAAGAAATTGCTTTGATTTCAACTGAGCGATTATACTTTTATCTAATTTCTACCTTCAGAACTCAACCCTGCCACAATAGGCTGCTCTTATGCTTAGGTCAAAGGAAATTAAATGCAAGTATGTTTTTTAATTTTTACATTTTTCATAATACAGTTCCTTAGGCTCAGGGGTTTCTCCCTTCCACTGTCCCCATATAATCTCTGCCCCTCCCTCTGTTCCCCCTCCTTTATAGCCATAATATAGTCCTTCAGCAGCAGTTGTAAGAACATTGTTATTCTGTTTAAGTGTATCGTGACATTGTAGGTATAGACCATGGTGGAAAGTCCAGCATCCTCTTGCAAAGGCCGACTTCCTAACCAGGACTCAGAGCAGAACCTCTGCCCAAGACCATCCATTAACTGCCCAAGCCATGGTTTCCCCACCTGCCATGTCAGTTTATGACTGTTGTTCCCTCTCCCTCTGTAACTGCACCTTTCAAGTAAATAAAACATTTTTTAAAAGCCAGATGTGAAGTAAACACGTGTACTTAGAGATGATTCTGGAACATGCAAAGCTACTCCATGGAATGAGCAGCGAATGCTCATTATTTAATAAAGTGCTCTTGCGGGGGGGGGGGCGTGTTTTGCTTGTTTTTTGACAAATGGAGCGAGGGAAAGATCATCTGGGAGTTTACTCCCCAGATGCCCTCAACAGGTGAGGCTGGGCTAGGGCTGGAAGAAACAGACTCAGTCTAGGTCTCACATGTAGGTGACAGGAGGACAACTATTGATGCCATCCCCGCTGTCTCCAGGGTTTGCCTTAGCTGGAACCTGGAGTCACAGATCAAACCCAGGCACTCTGAGTTGAGACGTAAGTGCCTTAACCACCAGGAGACCCCGAACAAAGAGGAGAAGGTGGCAACCGAGTTAGGAGTGGGAGTAAGAGCATCCTGCCCAGCAGTTAGCACAGTGAAAACCTGACTCGGGAGCCCAAGGCCTGGACACAGAGGAGAGCCAAAGGTGAGAGGGCTGCATGTGGGGATGCCGACTCCCTGGAGGGAGATGGGGGCGGGGGGGGACACAGGTGCACGGGGCACATGGGTCACCTCAGGGGTTGGTTGTGGCTCTGAAGGGTTGCAGGCCTTTTTTTTTTTTTCCAAAGGACACCCAGGAGTTTAGTATTATTCAAAACATAAACATAAGTCATCTTTTAAACATTGATGCATTTGTGTTGATTCAAAATAAAACCAACAC